AGTCATATTAACGGGTCTTCCTTGTAGGCGTATGGATATTATCCTATCACTGACAGCATTGTACTTCAGGACAGATCTTGAAACCTCCTTTGTGAAAAGATGTTCGGTGTCATTAGCCATTAAGGAAATGCAAATTGAAATCACAATGAGATCTTACTATGCATGTATCAAACGATGATACATCTATACTATGGAATACTTCTCAGCAATAAAAAAGAACAAATTTTTGACACATACCATAGCCTGGATGAATTTCCAGATAATTATGCCAATTCCAAAAAGTTGCTTGTGGTATGATTCCATTTATATAGCATTCCTGAAATTACAAAATTATAGAAATGGAGAACAGATTAGTGGTTGCCAAGGATTAAGAAGGGACTGGGAGTGTGGGTGAAGTGGGTATGGCTGTATAAGGGCAACATGATGTATCCTATGTTGATGGAATTTTTTTTTGTCTTGACTGTGCCAATATCAGTATCTATAGTTTTGCACCATTTGAGTGAAACTGGGTAGACTATATGATCTCCCTGTGTTATTTCTTATAACTGCATGTGAGGCTAAAATTTATCTCAAAATAAAAAAGCTTAGTAAAAAAAAATCTCAAGTAAGGTTAAATAGCAATAGAATAAAATACAAATAGCATGGAGACTGGAGTCCTGGATGGTGCAGTAACTGTGCTCAGCTGTTAACCAGAAGGTAGGAAGTTCAAATACACCTAAATTGTGCTTCAGAAGAAAGCCTTGGTGATGTATTTCTGAAAAATCATCCATTGAAAAGTCTGTAGAACACAGTTCTATTGTGAGACCCATGTGGTCACCATGAATTCACTCAGTGGCAACCATTTATTTTTTGTTTTTATAGCATAGAGCCTGGAGACTTTTGGGTCAAAGTAGACTTAATCATTTGAATTTTCAGGCCAAAATATTTATAGTTAGAGAAAGGTTATTTGAAAATGGCAAAAAATTAATTACAACTTCTAAAGCACTCATCAGGAGCCCTGGTGGTGTAGTGCCTAAGGCATTTGACTGCTAACCAGTAGGCTGGTGGTTCAA